CCCCAAAACCCCAAAACCCCAAAACCCCGAAAAGCATTATTTCGTAAACATTTTAATGTAAGTAAAATATAAATTTTACTGAGTAGAAATGGAAATAATTAAGTATTTCATTTGAAAGTTCCTGGGACGCAAATTTCGCATTAAGGATCATCATCGTCACAAAATCCAACTGGACATTTAGGAGGTTTACTTCCTTTCTTGCAGATGAATTCATTATCAGTTAAATCCATTACAAGCTCTCCATTTTTCTTTCCAGTCATGCTCCATTGCCAAAGTGTGATTTTTACATTATTGGGGTTAGAACATTTAGCTTCAATTTTACGAGTTTTAGAGCTACTCAAAGTTTAAGAAACAGTGTCTCTAACTGCAGTACCAACAGTAGCACTAACTGAAACCTTATAGCCAATAGCATCACCACCAAACTCGAATCCGGTTGTAATTGAGGTGCTTAATTCATTTTCGTTAGTCAATGATTTGTCGATTCCGGAAGTTTGTTCAATACTTGTAGTAATTTCATCATTAGAAGATAGAACTTTCTCCCAGTATCCTATTATTTAAATAGGTCCATTTCCGATGACAAAGCTTGAGACTATCATGCTACCAATGTAATCATTCCATTTTCCATTATCATAAGCAATTAGATCTATCTTGTTAGGCCCCTTGAATGTAATAGATTCTCCCTCAAAAAAATCATTTTTGAAAACTTAGATTCCCATATTTGCTGGAACAATTATGGCAGAGGCACCTCCATTATTTCTTGGTCTGTCTATACCATTCCATTAAAGATCTTAGGTTAAATATCTCCCTTGTAAAAATGTTCCTGATCTGTCAAACTTACTTAGCTATCCTCCAATGATAGTTACTCTTGGTTCTGTGTTTTCATCGTAAGGATAAACTTCTATGTAGCTTACAGTATCAGAAGGTATAAAATAAGGCTCGTTATAAGGTCCAACGACTTCGAAGTTATCACTCCACCCCCACCATACGCCGTCTCTATATTTGCAGAATTTTACTCTAATGCCTTTGCCAATTTATACAGAGCTCATTAATTCATCAAAATTAGGTGAAAGGGTATCCAAATTGCCCTTAAATCCTGAGTATAGCTTTACTTTTCTATTTCTGAATTCTTCATCTTCGAACAAAATTACTTCTCCTGGTGCAGCCATTTCTTGAAAAGAGGCAAGAATATTTGCCTATTTTAGTTGTGATTCTTGTCCGTAAAGCAGAATGGTTATTGCAGCTACTGACAATCCAAAAAACAATGCAGTTAAGACCTTTGGAATATTACGACTTTTAGATCTATGTTGATCTGGAAGCAGAGAATCCATAATAATAAATAATATTTATAATTTGCTAAATATCTTTTAACAATAATAGTTAGGATCCAATATATAAAAGTTCTTAAAAGTTCTTAAAAGCTTTAAATTTAAAATAAAAATGAAAGTAGTGAGATTAAGAAAATATGCTAAGAAATAAACTAAATTATTTAATTAGAATGATAGTAGATATTTTAGATTTTAGTTATTAGATAAATTACAAAGCTTCTAAGAAAATAAAGATTTTGAGATGAGATGATTTAAATTTCAATTTTTCTTTTATTTTCCTATGATTTAGAATGTTAACCCTGTTGATTTTTTTAATTAATTAAAGATAATGAGAATAAAAATTAAGTTATTTATTAACTCTAAAGATAAAATTTGAGATAAAAAATAATATTTATTCAATTGATAGCAAACTGAAATCACTCAAATTTATCAAGTATTCCAACATATCCAGCGAGGCAATATAGCCATTGATACAGATAAATGATAATATAAAGTTAGACATCAAAAAAATTATAATCATACATAATTAATAAGTCATCAATATTAAATCTGTATTTCTAAAAAAATATAAAACTCCACTTATATTAGCATTCATAGATTAAGGGGTTTTGGGGTTTTGGGG